TCTTCTGAAGCACTTGGATTCAAATTCCAGCACAGAATTTCCTAGCTATCCCTGTTTTCTGAGAGCAGAAGGCCTTTGGGGGAAACCTCTGAAATGACCCTCTCCCTCTTCCGTTCCTACAGAAAACGGGCAAGAGGCTCAAAGCTTCATGGGCTATCATTTCTCAGCAGCTTTGGGTTTCCAAGATTTCTGTGATGGGGAGCAGGGTTGGGGCCCTCTGGTGAGGCACTGTGGATTCCCTCCCAGTGTGGGGTACCTGGGAGCCTGGGACCAGGACATCAAGGTGAAGTTTGACCTCCAGGGGCCTTGCTGTGCCAAACTCGTCATTCTGTCTCCTGGCTTCTTGGGAGTGGAGAAGAGGAGCAAGGAAAGAGGCTCAGGATAAGGCACCCAAGAGAGAAGGGCAGAGAGAACCAGAGAGAGGAAGACACAGAGTCACGCACACCCTCTGGGAAAGAGGGGGAAGAACACAGGCAGAGGTAGAGAGACAGAGAAGGGAAAGCAGAGACCTCGAGGGATCCTAAGGTACCCTCACCCCACCCCCTAAAACACACACAGAGAAGCAGAGACACCTGGGGGACACACACCACTGACAAGCAGACACAAGCTCAGTGGACAGACAGGGCCCGGGCCTGGCAGTCACTCAGCTCCTTTGGTGTCACTTCTCCATGGAGAAGCCTGAGCACCGACCCTCAGAAGTGGTTTCTGGCCCATTTGCCAAGCACCTCCCACAACCAGCACCCAGGAGAAGACTGAAAGCAGGAAAGAAGGGACAGCAGTGGAGCAGAAGCAGGAGGGACCCTGCCAGCCTCCCTATGCCCCAAATGGCCCCAGCCCCAGGAAACTTGTTCAGGAGCTGCTGCCCTGCTCAGCAGCCTGGGCAGAGGGTCTCAGGGCTTCAGAACAGGGAGGGCAGCAGGGCTGGGTAGCTGGGAAGGAGCACAGCACAGTGCACCCCCAGTGGGAGTGGCCTAGGCTGCGGGGGGAGGCAGGGTGAAAAGGCCTGGAGCCAGTGAGCCTGCAGCCTCCACTTGGGCTGTCCATTCCATGGGCTTCTTTGCGATGGCTGCTCTCCCAAACCTGGGTTTCCTGCCACCAGGCTACTTTGCGTCTTGGAGTTCCTTGGCCTTCTGTAGGATCTGACAGACGTCTGTGATGGGATAATCCTGGGCATGGGAAAGGCAGTAATAGGCCCCTGAAGCAGATCAACCTTTGCACCTTCTGCCATACCCACCACCTCCCCACTGGGCCCTGTCACCATGTTGTGGGCTTCAGGGGCAGAGACCACAGAATACCAGACACCCCGTGCATCCTGCCCCAAACCCCTGCACCTCACTAACACAACACCCACTAACAACCAAACATTACAACCCAAAGGGTTTCACATCTCACAGTCTTCCCTTCCTCAGTGCTCCTGCCATCGAACCCCGAACTCCACCCAGACACAGCCTGGGACTAGGCCAATGTGGTGCATGCCTTAGCCCCCAAGTCCTCTTAGCAGCTCTGGGAAGAGTCGCTGTGATTATGTCTGCTTTACAGATCTAGTTGGTGATGTTACTGGAAAGCAACCCTAGGCCAGCACTAGTGAAGAACCTGAGGCTGTCCCTTGGCTCGGGTCACAGTAAGAGCAGAGGTGTGCACTCAAAGCTGGGACCTTGGACCACCCTGCTCCACAGCGCCTGCTCTGACCACAATTACCAACAACTCACCATGTCCTGGGCACTACTAACTTGTAGACCGCACGTGGTTTAGAGGTCAAGTCATTAGCTCAAGGCCCCACAGCACTCAGTCACTGCAGTTGATCTAGGCTTTAACCCAGATCCAAACCTGTCTTGCCTCAGGGGTCTGGACCCTGAACCCCCACTACAGTCTCCTGCTCCTGATCCCAGCCTGTCTCAGTGGCCAAGGGGTAGTGCGGGGTGGGTCTGGGTAAGTGCCACTGTCATGCCTGCCAGTGGGCTCCCCTCTGATGGCTGTTACCTGCAGGAGCCGCATGTTGACAGTGAAATCCCCTTCCAGCAGCTGCTCTCGGATCAGTCTGCGGAAACAAACAGCCCTGGTGCTCGGCCCCTGGGGTGCTCAGGATATAGGCCCAGCAGCCCCTCCCACTTCTTCCTCAGCACCTCTCCAAGAATTCTGAGCTCTAGAATGCTCACGCCAGCCATGAGAGAACACTACCTCCTGCCCACCCTGCAGTGCAGGGAGGGTCACCCCCTCTGGTTTCTCTCAAGGGACTGGCCAGGTCATGGCCACACTCACATGAGCATGGCACAGCAGACGAGGAGGAGGAAGTCAAAGCGGTTGTCATCGGCAAACAGGGAGTCCCAGATCCGGATGACGTCAGGCAGCAAGAATTCCTGGGACAGCAGCAGCGTGAGCCAGCGAAAGGCGAAGAACTGGGGCTTGATGTTCTGCTCTTGCTGGGGAGATAGCGGTGGGGGCAAGCACCCATGTTGGCTGGCTGCCATGACTACCTTGCAGCCCGGGAGTGAATTCAGATGAACAGCAGGCCAGGACCTAGCACATTATATAGAGGATGCAGCAGGCCAGTGGGAGTGCAGAGCCACTAAGGAGGTGGCACTGGACCCTTAAAGAGCCTGGCTTGGATAAAGGGGCAGCTATGTGCTACTAGCCAGTATTGCCAGGATGCTAGAATCCTGACTTTTGTACATTTTTTATAAATGAGGGCTTGACTTTTTTTTTTTTTTCCAGTACTAGGGCTTGAACTCAGGGCCTATCCCTTGAGCCATTCCACCAGCCCTTTTTTGTGAAGGTTTTTTTCAAGATGGGGTCTCTCTCGAACTATTTGCCTGGGCTTGCTCTGAACAGTGATCCTCCTGATCTCTTCCTCCTGAGTAGCTAGGATACAAGCAGTACCCAGCAAGGGCTTGACTTCTTTTTAAAACACTGTGCAGATTATAACCTTGAATTTGGGGACATACACAGTGACCATCACGAAGTACTTCCTATAAGCCTGGTCTTGTGCTCAGCATGCTAAATGCATTACCTCACCACTTATTTAATTCATGTAACAACCCTACAGGACACTTATTCCCAACAGAGATGAGCCCTCTGATCAGTCACAGTGAATGTTAACTGAAAAGAGGATCTACAAAACAGCAAAACTGGTGCTGTTTAAAAAGATGCACATTGATATTTTGTTTTTCTACAAAATTGTATGTTAACATGTATCTTCTTTTCACTGAGCTGTTTTTGGTTTTTAGCAGTACTGGGGTTTGAACTCAGGGCCTCATGCTTGCTAGGCAGGTGCTCTATCGCTTGAGCCACTCAGCCAGCCCTTTACTGAGTAGTTTTTGGAAATAAACATGGAATGCCATTACAGTAATTTTTTAACTGAAGTTAACATCCTCTTAGAAAGTGTGTAACCACCAGGCTTCCCTTGCCCACTGCCCTGTGTCTGGCACACAATAGGCACTGCTTTCAACATCCCACCTCTCAGCTGGCAGGGCTCCCACTGTCAGCTGGCTCCAGAGTCCCTGGACCATGGGCCAGCATCCCAGGTCAGCATTCCCCAGCAGCAGCCACTTTTAACCCTAGACTCAGTCAGACATTGCCCTGGGCCTGGGCTGTTCTAGAACCTGCTATAATCTGCCCATCTGCCCTGACCCATGTGGTGCTGGGGTCCTCACCAGTTTCAAATAGAGCTCCACATCTTTATCCTTCAAGGTGGAGTACACCTTTTCCATCTTGTAGGTGATGCCACACTGTGAGTCATCTAGGCTCTTGATGAAGTTGTCTCGGATCTCAGCCATGAGGTTGGTGAAGCAGAAAAAAGTGTCTGCCTCAGCATGCTCTGGGAGAGAAACAGAGCATGGGGGAGACACTCTCAAGTTCCACCTCACTTCTTATCCACAGGACATTGCCCCCACCTTTAGTGTCACCTAACTGCCCCACTCTGATGGCTGGGCTGAGTCCTTCTGTCCTTGGCCACCCTGGACTACTGGATCCGACCCTAAATTATGGCCATCACACTCTCTCTCAGCATCTTGTAACATTGTCCACTCATCTTGCAATTGATTAGATGCTCTCTGTCCTGATTTAAATCTTATCATGCAGCTTCTTATATATACCTTTCATCTCTCCTACCAGAGATTAAGGTATGAATATCAAGAGAGCAATGACATCAGAATTCTAGAAGGGAGATCTGGAAAGGATCTGAGCTATGATCCTGGCAACCCCTCATCTGGCAGAAGGAAAATGGAGGCCTGAGAAGGGACGGGGCTTCATAGCCTGACAGAGCCTGCCCACCTGTCTTGCCTCACTCTCTTTTTCTAGGGAGCCAGTGATGGGGGATATGGGCAGTGGGCATGTCTACCTTTCCACTCGCTGTTGGGGTCAGTGGCAAAGGTATAGTAGAGAGGCCCCACGATCTCATTCATGCCCTGCACGTAAGCGATGCCAGGGTTGAGCTTCGCATAGATGAACAGGATCCGTTCCACCACCTCCCAGTGGGCCTCACAGCCGTTGGGCAGCACCTCATATTCATTCAGGGCCAGTGGTGTGGAATTCTTGTGTGGGGAGCTCATCTGGGGAGAAGAAGAAGGCGTGTTAAGCAGGATAAGGTTTACCATTAAGCCCAGACTTCACTTCCCAGATAAAAGGAAAGACAAGGTGTTGAGGAGACAAAGTGTCAAACATGACCATGCAGAACAGAGTATGTGACATTCTACAAGCAACTAGCTTAAATCTAATTTATGGTATTAAAAGCCAGAGTAATGATTACCTCTGAGGTGAGGGGATACTGACTTGGAAGGGACAAGGAGGAATCTTCTGGATAATGAACATTCTATATCTTGACTGATTGAGAGTTATACAGGTATAACCATCAGGAAAAAATCTAGCCGTGTACTTAAAGTTTGTGCATTTTACTTCACATAAATTACATTTCAATTTAAAACAAAAACTTTAAGTATGTCAAAAACCAGGTAAGACATTTCAAAAAGTGAACTCTGGGGGCATGGAGTGGAGACCTGTTCCAAATCAAGAAACTAAGAAAACAATAAGCAGAGCAAGGCGCCAACCTTGCCTAAATCCTGGTTTACAATAAAGTTATTCTCGTCATGTCAGAGGACATCCCTTTGCCCCACTCATCTTTTTTCTTTTCTTTCTGGTGGTACTGGGGCTTGAACTCAGGGCTTTGTGCTCATGAGGCAGGTGCTCCACCACCTGAGCCACGCTCCCACCCCTTCTACTTTAGGGATTTTTCTCATAGAATCTCATGTTTTTCCCAGACTAACCTGGACCAAGATCCTAATGTCTCCCCAATAGCTAGGACAACAGGCACATGCCACCACACCCAGCTTTTTTGTTGAGATGGGGTCTTGCTAACTTTGTGGCCTGTCTGGTCTTGAACCACAGTTACGATCCTCTCAATCTCTGCCTCCTAGGTAGCTGGGATTACAGGCCATTGCCACTGAGCCTGCCCCTCAGTTGATCTTAATTGATCATGACTGGGTATCAGGTAATATTCTGGAATGGATCTTCTTAAATGTGCTAGTAGTAGGTAAGAGGACAACCCTGTTCTTAGAGAGGCCTGTTGAGGTACTTGGAGAGAGGGGCAGGCACTGTAGCTTTCTCTCTAATATACATAGAGACAGAGGAACACAACAGAACACTAGCAACTGCTGCACTCAGATGGAAAGCAGACAGCCATGAACTGTGTACTCTTCTTGCAACTTTTTTGAATGCTTGAAAATTTTCATAAAAGAAGGTTGGGAGACAAATAAAAAGGCGATGATCTTACTAAAGACTCATGCAAGACAGTAGGGGTCCCAAACTGGCTTCCCAGCAAGACCCCTCCAGAATTCTGTAGTGGTTTGGGAGCCAGGCTCTACCAGATCTGCTCCATAAAAAGCTAGAGATGAGGCTACCTGTAGGAGACAACTCTTCAGAGACATATAGGAAGGTATCTTGGAAGTACAGGAGCCCAGCAACATGAAATTCCCTCTCTCATTACCTATATACATGTATGTGTGCACATGTGTATTTGTGCATACAGACACACGCACTTCAGTAACATTTACAAGAGCTTTCTCCATACCAGACGGTGCTGTACGAGCACTGCTCCATTAATCCTCGGAACAACCTAGAATCGTCTCTCAACATCCTTTAAGGGAACTGCGACTCAAATGTTCAGTCACTCACTGAAAATCCCCCATTAAGTGGTGGCCTTAGGCTTGAACCTAGATGGGCTAACTCCAGAACCTGTGGTCTAATCCAAGCCTCAAGGACGGGCTGTCTTCTGAGGATTTTTTTATTTTGAAGAGCAGATAAAGGAGATTTGTTACATGGCCAGGACATGCTGTGGGAAGAGGCAGAGTGAGCACACAGACCATCTTCAGCTGTCTTCCCTCCTGAAGATTCTTGCAACTTTCCAAGAACCTACACTCCATGACCTTGTTTCATCCTCCTGGCCACCTCACAGCCATTCAGGGCAGGAATGGTTATGCTCAATTCGTGGAAGAGGAAAACAGAGGCCCAGCAATGCAAGCCTGGTATTTACTCGCCCAGAGTCAGACAGATGGCCAGCGTTAACTCAGAGGCCTAGGGCTGAAACTTCTGGTGGATCCTCTGCCACCAGGACCAGGGCCAAAAGATAAAATGGGTACACATTTAGCTCTCAAATCCCAATTACTGGAGCCTTTATTCTCTTTTCCTGCATGGGGAGTAGGAAATATTATTCTTATTTTTCCTCCTACTTTATCCTGTCATACCAAAATCCTTGCTTTAAAAAAAAAAAAAAAAAAAATCCCATAGCCAGGTACAGGTGGGTCACATCTGTAATCGTAACTACTTGGGAGGCTGGGATTAGGAAGATCAAGGTTCAAAGCCAATCCAGGTAAATAGTTTGTGAGACCCTATCTCCAAAATAACCACAGCAAAACGGACTGGAGGTGTGGCTCAGGCGGTAGAGCACCTGCTTCACAAGCTTAAAACCCTGAGTTTAAGCCTCAGTCCCACCAAAAAAAAAAAAACCAATTACTGTAGCAAAAGGAGTGACTGTGGCTAGTCCCAGTGCTTTAGCCAGGCACTCAGCAGCCAGGCAAGCGCCCACATAGTGAGCCATGTGTTTTCTTAACTGAGCCTTGGGGAGCTCCGGCAATCCTGTTGGACTCCCAACCCTGCCATGGGCATTTGGACAGGGATTGGCTGGATCTGCCCCTGCTTGCCCTGTCAGTGCTCAACTCCAGTCAGTACCTCGGGGAAAATAAGCTTCTACAAGTCTATCTGTCTCCAGATGGCTGGAGGCTACACAGAAGGGCTATCCATTGATGTAGGACCAAAAAAGTAGGCAAAATGAAGGAATAAGTTAATATTCTTTGGGATAAGCAAGTTCCCAGAGTTGCAGGAATCTGCAACATGCTTGTCCAGCACAAGCTCTGTCAACGTAACCTCCCAAGTCCTCTGGATCTGCCCCTGCTCGACCCCAGCCCAAGCCCCCACTTCTCAGGTGGCTTCTCTCCCTCCATCTCTATATGCCCACAGCACCCACGGCCATCTTTCACAAAGGCAGACCTGGATGAAGTCACTGACCAGCTCAGAATGCTGCAAGGGTCCTCAGCCCTTTGGACAAATGCCCTTAGTGACCTCACTACCACTGACCTTTCCTATGTCTTCCTGCACCTTCTCTCGCCCATGCCTCTAGCCATTTGGGACCCTGTTCCTTGAACACACCATGCTCTTTCCTGTCTGAAGACTTAGGCAAATGCCCTCCTCCCTACCTGGAATGCTTTCTCTTTGAGGTCATTTCCTCAGAGAAGGCTTCTCTGGTGCCCAGCCCTAGTCAGGCCCCCAGCCACCCACAGCACCACTCCCACCTTTCTCACACCTGTTATTACTCTCTTAGAGCCACTTGCCATCTCAACACTAGAAGTGGGGCCTGATACTGGGGACAGGCCCTCCCCAAGCAGCCAGTACACCCAGCCTCTTGACAGTAGCCTTCAGAAAACACCCACAGGTAGGTCTCTGGCAGGTCCAAGGTTGCATCAGGTGACTGTCTAGGCAGGTGGTCATGGGCCCCATGCCCTATGGCCAGTGGTCCAAGGGAGGCAGGAAGGGAAAGGGGAGTCACTGGGCCCCAGTTGGATCTTACATTTGTGACCCCACTCCGGTTCCGGGCCACTGTCTGGGATTTCAGCGTTGTCTGTTCCACCCGCTTACGAAGGGTCTCAAATTCATTCTGAGGGTCCAGGATGAGGAGGCATGGGTATTCAGTGGCCCTCTGGAAGAAGGATATGTCTGGGCACAGCCTCCTGTCAAGAGGGAACAAGAGACAATACTGTCATTCAGGGTGGAGGTTTGGCTGGGGTGAACGAAGATGGCCCCAGAAGTAGTTGGGGTTTGTTTGTTTTTCAGTGCTGAGGAAAGAACCTAGAGCATGGCATACACTAGGCAAGTGCTCCACTACTGACTTACACCCTCAGTCCCATTCATTTGTTTGTAATCATAACATTTTTTTAACTTAAAAAATAATATGGCTTTTAAAAAGGCATTAGTCTGGGGGCATGACTCCCCTAGCAAGCACAAGGCCTTGAGTTCAAGCTCCAGTCCCACCAAAAACAAAACAAAATAAAAAAAAACACTAGTCATTGTATACATATACATGCTCATATTTCACATACATTTGCAAAGAAACGCAGACATGTACATTTTTTAAGTGCCTTTATAGTCATATAACCTAACTCTTCTTTTAAACCACAACATCTCTCTGTGTCAAAAACATGGGCTGGGAGCGTAGCTCAGTGGTAAAGTGCTTGCCTAGCATGCACAAGGCCTCAGGTTCAAGCCCCAGCACCACACACATATAAAAAAACTGTCTAGTGGCAAAGGATATAGTTCAATGGTAGAATGCTTGTCTAGCATGCCCAAAGCCCTGGATTTGATATCCAGCAGTGCAAAATATATGCATTTATCTCATACTCATAAGGGGTAAAGCCCTGAGTTCAATCTCCATCACAAAAAAAATTAACGTGTATTATATAACTAATATGTTTGGTTAGGCACACCCTGTAGTGGGGTGAGAGAGTGGGAGATGGGACTAAGAAAGAAATGGAGGACTGGGTGTTGGTGGAGATCAGGAGGATCGTGGTTTGAAGCCAGCCCAGGCAAACAATTCACAAGACCCTATCTCAAAACACACACACACACACACACACACACACACACACACACACACACACAAAGAGCTGGTGGAATGACTCAAGGTGTAGCCATGAGTTCAAACCTTAGCACCACAGGAAAAAAAAAAAAGGAATGGACAGAGTGAATTTGATCAATGTACAATATATGCATGTGTGGAAATACTACAATGAAACCCCTTTGCACAATTAATATACATTAATTACAAAAATAAAAAAAAAAAAGCAGGCACTGTACACAGAAAGCCATGAGTTGAAGTGGAAAGGAGTACAGGTCAGAGTAGGAGGAAAAGTCAAAGCAAGCTGAAGCAGTCAGCCTCCAGGTGTGACTTGGCATAACACATGCACGTTTCGCAGACCTTGTACGCTCAGTGCATTGCAAACCTGCCCTCTAAAACGTGGCCACCTGCTACATCCACTACAGGGTGAGAAGAACCTATGCCCCTAGTCCCTTCCCAGATCACTGCATAATGTGGCTCTTTTTTCCCATCTCCGCATTCACAATAAAGACTGCCAGGGACAGGGCCTGGGCTGAGATGTATATAGGATAGGTTTACTTTGCCTCCTCTTTATATATAGTGTAAGAACACAGGCTGTGGTAAACACCAGAAGACCACGATGTGGCTGTTGACTTAAGCCAGGCAACTAGAGTACCTTGTGAGTAGAGGCTGCACCAACAACAAACTGAGGACAAAGGGAGCAAGAGCCCCTTTTTTCCAGTAGTCTGGCAAGCCACCCTGTGCTGGGATGCCGAGGCCATCTGAAGATGTCCTGGGCAGAGAAGCGGCAGTGGGGGGGGGCGGGGTAAGGGTCACAAGGGCCTTCCTCTCTTCTATACCCTGACATCTGCTGCCTTCCCAAGCTGCAGGGTACTTCACAAGCTGTTCCCTCAGCCTGGACTGTTCTATGCAGTTCTGTGCCTCCCTGTCCCTCCTTCTCCTTGAGTACCCTGCTGAGTCATCTCTTCTAAAATAGGGACCGTTCTCATTCTCTTAAAGCACCGTATTTTTTTTATTCCTTCACAGCATGTACATTTGCAATCATGTATTTAAAGGTGGGTTGAGTATCTGTCTCCTTACATATACCACCATGCTCACACAGGCACTCAGCCTATGTGCTTCAGAAGCAGCACAGCAAAAGCCCAACTGACTTGTGTAGGTACAGCCTGGCTTGGACCTCAGGAGCTGGCCCTTGGGAACACTGACGGGTTACTGTGTGATATTATCTGCCCAAAAACAGAGTATGGAGTTGGCCTTGGGCATGCTGTAAGCAGAGCAGGATGAGCTCCTGGGACCTTTCTCCAATAGTGACCACATGATTTTAAGCATCTCTGCAATGTGGTAGAACCAGCACAACACTCCCATTTATCTGTGGAGACCCAGGCCCTACTCTATGCCCTTAACCTGAACCATCTTGCTCCTACTTCCAGATCCAGTCATGTGCAGAGAACCTTAGTCACTGGCCCAAGGTCATGTAGTTAAGAACTGGCAAAGCTGTAACTAAAACCAGGCAAACAGACTCTAGAGCTCCTTCTCACTCCACTGCCCCACAGAACTGCCTCCCTTCCAACTCTTTTCCCAGCCTTCTGGGAGATCTCCTGGTGGCCAGACAACCCAGTCAGTCCATCAGGGCAACAAAGCCAGCCTTCCTCAGTTCTTTGCCAAGGGGGAAAATGCATATACATTACTATTCACAACTTTTTAAAAACAAAGTCTGACCCTGTCGCTTGCTGCTATTAGCATAACTATCCTATGCCCTTGGAATCAAGTCCAAGGTCTGGCCTCGTCCCCACTCCACTGGCCTTGACATTGCTCCTCATATGTGCCAGGCTCCCTGTGTTCTTGGGGCTGTACCACAGGCAGCAGTTCTTCCTCACTCTGCCCCAAGGCCTCCAAACTTCACATAAGATCTACGTGGCTGAAAGTCTACCTTACCATCTTCCCCTCTAGCTTCCAAGCTCTTTCAGGAGAGAGGACATGCCTGTGTACCCAGTGCTCAACCCTGAGCTTTACTCTGAGCCTGGCATACAGCAGGGGTTCAATACTGTGGAATGAATAATCACATGAATCCATCAGAACTTGGGTACAGATGAAACCAAGGCATAGATAAAGAGAGCTGGTCACATGCAGACATAGAGTCCCACGGGTGCACTCTCTGGGCCCCTCAACCACAAGCCTAGACCCAAGTGTGGGACACCTTGCCAGCACCCTCCAGCACTCGCCCTGTGGGCCTGGGCTAGAAAAGACATGTTCAGCGCTAGAGCAGCAACCAGCCTGTGTGCTTCTTACCGGACATCTTTGTCAATCTGCAGCAGCACCTCGTTGTCCTTGAAGTACGTGTTCCACCGGCTGTCAGGGTTGGGGTTGAGGGGCTGTGGGGAGAAAAGTGGCTGCTCTATCTAAGGCCCAGTCCGGGCCCTAGGAGGAGATTCTAGTCTGAAGACCTGAGCAGTGGCCTCCCACCATCAATCCATAGACCCAGCTGGGGCCCAGAGACAGCCCAGACCTTCCCAGGACCTTACAGATCACTTGTGAACCACATTCAAACTGCACAGCATGAGGTCCTAGATTCCATCCCCAGCACTCCAGCAGTGCAAAAAAGGGAAAAAAAAAAAAAATCAGAAAAAAACATTTAGCTGGGCATGGTATCACCTGCCTGTAATCTAGAGGCTGAAGTAGGAGGATCTTAAGTTCGAGGTTAGCCTAGGCTACAAAATGAGACCCAGTCTCAAAAAAACAAAGAAAAAAAGAGAGGGCTGGTTGAGTGGCTCAAGTGATAGAGCACCTGCCTAGCAAGTGTGAGGCCCTGAATTCAAATCCCCAGTACCACCAAAAAAAAAAAAAAAGAAAGAAAAAAAAGACACACACACACACAGGACCAGGGGTGAGGGTTGCAAGAGACTGTGCCTGCAGACGGCAGAGCACCTGCTGCAGGGCTGTCCCCATAGCACTCTGAGACACGGATATTGTGTGTGTTACTAAGTAGGCCCAGGACCCCTGCGGCTAAGCTGTGCCTGGGATAAAGCAATGAAAGACAAGTATCTACAGGAGCTGGGCAACCCAGGGCAGAAAAGAGGTATTGGCAGGGCCAGAGCAGACCAAGGCCAGGCTGCACCTATCCTGTGGCAAAGGAGACCATGTCTGCTCCACTGCCTCTTTTCCTCATTCCCTACCCTTAGCCCCTGCTGCCAACCCTACTCACATGATCTTCAAAGGTCACATCTTCCCTGGACACACCCATGTTGGCCTTAGCAATGCCAGGCTGAATAATCATTTCTCTCAGGAACTGAGAATATAGCTCCCTGCAGGGGAGAAAAGGAGAGATGGTGTTTCCTGAAGGTCTTGCCCACAGAGCCCAAACCAGAGAAGCAGCAACAGGAGGCAAGATTAAGACCTTGGTCTGACCCAAGACCCCCCTACCATCACCTGTTCACAGGTCTCACCTCTGCTTGGCCAGGATGGAAGTCCATGAAGCTCTCTCCAAAGGGAGGTAGTTTAAGAGGATCTACACAGAAGAGAGGGGCACAGCTCTGGTGACAACCCACTCCAACCCTGGAGTGGAGTGGCAGGTGGAGGTAGATGAGCCTCAGGAGAAAGGTTTTGTAAAGCCCAGAGCAGACAAAATGGCTGAAGCCCAGGAACACAGGACTGAGCCACTGTGACCTCCCTTTCCTCCCCAATGCCTCCCACCTCCTTTGTTCCAAACGAACCCTTTCCTCTTTTCCATACAGACTCTTCCAAGTGATAATAAAACCTGGTGCTCAAAGGGGCTGAAAACCAGGCCATTGGACCTCTACTATTTGGGAGGCTGAGATTAGGAAGACCATGGTTCAAGGCCAGTATGAGCAAATAGTTCACAAGACTCCATCTTCAAAATAACCAGAGCAAAATAAACTGGAGGTGTGGCTCAAGTGCTAGAGTGCCTGCTTTGCAAGCATGAAGCCCTGAGTTCAAACCCCAGACCCACCAAAAAAAGCCACAGTGTTCCATACCCAAGGGGGATCCTGGAGGGGATGCCAAGAAGACAGAGTAACCCAAAACTTCAGAAAAAGTTCCCCAGACAAGCAAGGAAAGGTACAGAATAGGAAGAAGGAGCTGGAGCAGGGTAGCCAGCCCATGCAGGACCCAGGGACTCAAGGCAAAGCAGAAGCCCCATCCCAGGCACACCCACCTTCCAGCAGAGGCACCGCAGTCCGCCCTCACAGGGGATGCCTGTGGACACAGCAGGCAAAGATCACCCTCAGGCCAGAGTCCCAGGACCCCCTAGCCCTCCATCTTGGAACCAGTTGGCAGAAAAGTGGGGTGGGCATGAAGTATTTCTTCAGGAATCAATTTCCACTACAGGGAAATTCTAATTCTGTGTCATTTCTGTCTATGGCCACACATCCCTCAACACAGACCTCCCTCTGTCTGGAATGTTCTTTTGAGGATAACATCTCTCTCATCCTTGGTATTTCTTCCTCAGGGCTGGAGATGTGGTTCAAGCAGTAGAGCACTGCCTCACAAGCCTAAAGCCCTGAGTTCAAACCTCAGTACTGCCAAAACAAAGAAAGAATTTCTTCCTCAAAGAGACCATTACCAACTGCCAACTCTGCTCAATCAAAGCCAGGCTCAGCTGGGCGCCTCTGGCTTGCATCTGCAATCCTAGCTACCCAAGGGGCAGAGATCAGGAGGATTGCAGTTCAAAGCCAACCCCAGGCAAATAGTTCTTGATACCCTATCTCAAAAAAAAAAAAAAAAAAAAAAAACATAAAAAAGGGCTGGTGGAGTGGCTCAAGGTGTAGGCCTGAGTTCAAACCCCAGCACTGAAAAAAAAGTCAGTCTCTGTGACTTCTTCATAGCATCCACCACAACTGGAATTATATAAGACAACTGGTGTATACATTTAGTGTGTGTAACCTCTAGGACTGGGTATGCCCCAGAAACACAAGAAACACATCTGTCTGTTAACCTGGGTCTAGCAGGGCCCAGCACGCAAAAGGTAATCCGCATCTGTGTGTTGTGCATTATTTCTCTTAATCCTCACTTTAGCCCCAGGAAGGAGGAAAGACCAGCAGCAGGCCCTCATCTGACAGATGAGGGAAATCACCTGTAAAGACATAGCAACTGGCTGGCCACTGGTGGCTCACACCTATAATCCTAGCTACTCAGGAGGCAGAGACCAAGAGGATCATGGTTCAAAGCCAGAACCAGGCAAATAGTTCTGGATACCCTATTTCAAAAAAACCATCACAAAAAAAAAGCTGGCAGAGTGGCTCAAGTGGTAAGAACACCTGCCTAGCAAGTGTGAGGCCAGGAGTTCAAACCCCAGTGCCATCAAAAAAATAAAAAGATATAGCAACTCAGGACTGAAACACAGGTCTGGCTCTAGAGCCCAACTCTTCCTTACTGCCACAGACTGTCTCCCCTTTTGGGCCTCAGTACTGTTCCAGAACAGAAAGTCCAACTTCTCCTGCAATGCTACTGGGAGCCTCATAATAGCAGCATTACCATGGTTTCCCTAGTACAGAGAACATGAGCCACTACCCCCACCCCAGAATCTGTATGGGCACGATGGGGGCAATTTAACCTCCTTGCTTAGCAAAGTTACAAAGGCAGGGCAGTGGCAGAGAGCTACAGGAACACTTTGGGTTGGTTATTTATTTATTTTTTGGCAGTACTGGGGTTTGAACTCAGGGCCTCATGCTTGCTACTCAGGTGCTCTACCACTTGAGCCACTCCACCAGCTTTGGGGTATTTTTAAAGACAGAATAAAAGCAAGTTACCTCTGCTGGGGGAATCAACCATGTCAGGGAGGGCAAAGTCAAACGTGGCCAAGGTTCGACTCCTTAGTCAGTGTTCTGAGATGGAATTCTACCACCAACCCAAGTTCACTGTTGGTTTGACCCAAGCCAAGGAGGGAACTCTGCAGTTAACCAAATTTTCTAACACAGAAAGCTAGTTCAAGTCTGAGGAAAAGCCTGACTGAGGCGCAAAAGGTCCCCCCACTCTCATTCTCCATCTTCAGGCCCTCCAGCCTCCTCCTTGTCTAAGGCCCAACTGTGGCCACCACTCCTCTGGGAAAGTCATCTGAGATCAGGGCAGCTCTACACAATCTGGAGGAGGCCCTAAGAGCCAGGCAGGCTCCCAGAACTGAACAGATGTGGCCTTGGCTTCTTTTCTAGCTGCTCTAGGGACGCCCTCAAAATGCAGAGTTGCCTCTTACCACTGAAACTGAGTTCCCGCAGCTTTTCCAGTGCAATCAAGGGCTCCTTCAGAACATCCTGGAAATCTGCAATCCTACAAGAGGGGAGAAGAAGGCAAATGCAACGCACTCAAACCCCAAGCCTTACACCAGCAGCCTTCAACTCCAGCTCTAGGGACGTAGAGAACCGTGGATCACTTCTCCCTCAAAGCCCAGAAACAGAGGATGCCATGAAAAGATTTAAGAGGTATTCCTGTCTAGAGTTTCTAAGATGAGTACAATAAAAATTAAGCACTTTCTAACATTTAAAGACCTGGCGTTTATTGGGCACTTCCTGATGGGCAGGCCCAGCCCACAGCACCGCTACTACCTGAATTCAACCAACTCTAGGAACCAGGAGTAATTTGATCCGCAGACAACGGACCTGTCAATTTGCCCACAGCTCTCCATGCTCAAAAATATAACCATTACAAGGCTTCCAGGCTTGTCCTCAGGCAAGGACAAAAGATTTTAAAAATAAGTCTTGGAGGAAGGCTAAAGAGTGAGAAAAAAATTTAGCTAACGTTGCAGGACCTAGCCTGGGGGAGAGGCCAGACTAGAGAATCCATCTCGCATTTCTAGTAAGAAAAGCGAACTGGGGAATAGGCGCATTTGGAGAAAGGAGGGTACTGGGGCAGGGGGATGAAAAGGGGAAAGGGAGGTGGGGGTGGGGGGGCATCGAGGTCTGGATGAGGAAGACACCAGAGGAAAAGATCCAGGGTAAGGGAAAAACAAAGGTCACACCAGGGGTAGGAGAACCGTCTCCGTTGCTTCTCCTCTCCGGCCCACAGGCCATGAGGCTAGAAAGTGGACGCCCAAGACCCTCACGCCCCCTTGCCCGGAAGCTCCCTATTCCTGTTCGCACATGCGCTGACAGTCTATCGGGCAGACGGGGCGGCTAGACCAGGAGTGGCCTGGTGCGGTCAGCCCCGGTGGTCCCTTACCGGCTCTTGTGCAGACTCGACATGGTGTTGACTTCCGGAGCCCCCGGCTGCCTCCGCAGCCTCAGGAGCCACCGCCCCCCAGGGACGCGGGGCGCTCCGTAACCGGCTCCGGCCGGAAACAAAACCGCGGACGCGCACGTTCCGCCCGCCCGGCCCGCAGGCCCCGCCCCTCCGGTCACGTGTCTATCCTACCTTTCCTCCACCCCGCCCCCATCCCCGCTGAGAGCCAGGGAGAGCGCGCGCTGTCGTCATTGTCCTATTCCTTGTGCTTCCCTGGGCCTGGGTTTCTGTCCTCTCATCTACCTGTCGTCCGACTTCTTCCCTACGCGCGTATCCCACCTGTAATTAACGACTGCGAGATTGTCAGCCTCCCCTGCTGAGCTGTTCAGCACCCCATGCCTGTCTCATTAAATAGTGAATCCTAAGGGCCCATCACAGTGATCCATTACAGATCAGGTGGCTCAGGTAGTTCATGGAGGAGCAGGACCACAGTGTTTCCTTGACTGATGGATTTCATAAACAGAATTTCGGTAATTTAACCATAACTCCAGAACAGAAAAGGAAAACCTTTCGGGGCTTAAGTGGTAGAGCTCCTACCTAGCAAGTGTGGTGCCCTGAGTTCAAACCCCAGTATGCCAAAAAAAAGACCTTCCCAATTGGACAGTTGGCAGTTTTACAATGACTTTCTCTAAACATGGCAGCATATTTTCATAATTGTCCTCATTTTTTAAATTTCTCCACACACCTGTGAAAACTTTTGATGCTGGACTGTAACCTCCCTCCGGCTGTCACATACCTGCACTCTAGGACTTAATTTCCCAATAGGGCAGGCTCACCCTTTATTCACTCACTCCACAAACGATTGCTGCTTACACTATATACTAGGCCCTAGACAATCACCCCCAGTATTTGGAGGGATGGATTCCAAGACACCCCCTCACACACACAGATACCAAACCCCAAGGATGCTCAAGTCCCTTGTTTAGATGAGGTGTTTGCATGTAACCTGTGAACTTAAAATCATTGGGAGATTACTTACACTATCCCATACAATGTAGGTGGTTTGTAAGGTGTTCTGCTGTGTTGCTCAGGGAATAATAACAAGGAAAAAAGTTTGTACATGTCCAGTACAGATGAGTTTTTTTCTGAATATGTCTTATCCTTGGTTGGTTGAAACCAAAGCCACAGATATGAAGAGCCAACTGTACTAAATATTTGTGCAGAATCCAAAGCTTAATTTCCTTTGTATGAAATATAAGAAATGAAGAAACACTGATGTGATCTCACAAAGACTAGGAATATTTTCCTGGATAAAAAAATACCAGCCTGCCTTTAAAGGCGGGGAAAAACACAAACAATATCTTCTACTCTCTTCAGAAAGCTATCATTTGAAAAAATATTCATAAAGTTTTATTCCTACCTCACATCTGACACACACAAAAAATCTAGATGAATTAAAGCTTTCAAGGTATGTGGAGCTAATGATGTAGTTCAGTGGTAGAGCACTTGCCTAGCACAAACAACACCCTGGATTTGATCCCCAGCACAGCAAAAAAAAAAAAAAAAGAATAATGAAGAAAAGGTTTATAAGGGAAAATCCTATGTTATAGCCTTGGAGAAGGAAGACACAAAGCCAAAGATAAGACAGCTATATCACCACATAAAATTTTAACTCTCTGTATAGTACAATAAATGACACTTTTTTTTTTGGCCGTACTAGAGATTGAATTTGACCTCAGCCTTGCACTTGCTAGGCAGGCATGCTACTACTTGCGCCAAGTCCCCAGCCTCGAATGAAAAACATCCACAGGGGCAAATATTGCACCCTTTATGATAAAGAATTAGTGTCCTTAACACATAAGGAAAATCACAAACACTCTAGGAAAAAAAATGAGGCTTCAACAAAAAATTCTAAAAATACAAAAAAAATTTTTTTTTCTTAAATGAGGCCTCAGTGATTCATGAATTCTATTGTCTATGAGGTACAAGGAATGTTCTAGGCATTGGGAATTTAGTAGTGAACAAAACAGAAAAAATTCTGCCATTGAAGCACTGACATTTTAGTGTGGGGACACTAAATAAGATGTTAAATAAGATGAGTGGAGGAGTGGCTCAAGTGGTAGAGTGCCTGCCTAGCAAGTACAAGGTCCTGAGTTCAACCACCAGTACTGGAAAAAAAGAAAAAAAGGAAAAACAAAATGGAATCTCAGGTACATGTCACCATATCCAGCTGGGTTTGCTAGGCAAGTACTCTACTCTGAACTTCACCCCTAGCCCTGTCAATTATTTTTATTGTAGTAATGGGTTCACAAATAGTCTTTCTCTTTTTGCTTTTTTCTTTCTTTTTTTAATCCAAAATGTGTGTATTGGTATCTTTTTTTTTTTTTTGGTGGTACTGGGATTTGAACTCAGGGCCTCATGCTTGCTAGGCAGGTTCTCTATTGCTTGAGCCACACCTCCAGTCCATTTTGCTCTGATTATTTTGGAGATGGGATCTCGTGAGCTATTTGCCTCAGATGGTCTTGAACCTCAATCCTCCCAATCTCAGCCTCCAAAGTAGCTAGGATTACAGGCGTGAGCCACCAGCTCCCAGCATAAACTTTAAATTTTTAAAGAAATACCAGCTGGTTATAGTGGCTCATACCTGTGATCCCATTTACCTGGGAGACTTAGTTGGGAGAATCAAAGTTCAAGATTAACCTGAACAATTTAACAAGACCTTGTCTCAAAATAAAAATAAAAAACACATGATGGAGAAAAGACAGCTTTATCAACAAATGTTGCTGGGAAAATCAGATATCCACATGTAGAAAACTGACATCAGATCCCTGTCTTTCACTTTGTACCACAATCAATTCAAAGTGGATCAAAGACCTTAAGTCTTCAAAGTTTCAAAGGCCTGAAACTTTGAAACAACTCTGAGAAGAAGTAGGAAATACAGTGGAACATAAAGGTATAGGGAATAATTTCCTAAGTAGAACTCAAAAGGTTCAGCATCTAAGAGAAAGAATGAACAATGGGACTGCATCAAACTAAAGAGTTTCTGCACAGCAAAAGAAACAGTCACTAGATTCAAGAGACAGCCCTCAGAATGGAAGAAACACAAAAGACCTTGAATAGCCAAAGCAATTCTGAGCAAAAAGTCCAATGCTGGAGGCATCACAATACTGACTTCAAACTATACTATAGAACCATAAGATTTAAAACAGCATGGTATTGGCACAGAAACAGACAGGAAGACCAATGAATGGATCAGAACAGAAGACCCAGGCATGAACCCACACATACGCTCCTCACAAAGAAGCTCAAAATAAAACAAAAATTTAAAAGGACCTGGAAGTCAGGCACCGATGGCTCAAGCCTGTCATCCTAGCTACTTGGGAGGCTAAGATTGGGAGGATCACGGTTCCACGCCAGGTGAGGCAAAAAAGTTTGTGAGACCCCCATCTCACTGGGAAAAAGTTGGACATGATAGCATGTGCCTGTCATCTTGTCTACTGTGGGAGCTAAAATAGGAGGATAGTGGTCCAAGTTGGCCAGGGCAGAAAATGAGACCCTGTCTCCAAAATAACCAGAGAAAAAAGGGCTGGAAGAGTGGCTTAAATGGTAGAGCCACTGCCTAGCAAGTGCAAAGCCTTGAGTGCAAACTCCATATCATCAAAAAAGGAAAAGAGCAAGACGGGTTGGGCATGTAGTCTGATGGTAGAGTTCTTGCCTGGTGTGCTCAAGGCCCTGGATTTAGTTCATACGATTGCAATCAATCACTCAATCAATCAGTGAAATCAACACAACACTTTCCAAAATGGTTGTATCATTTAGCACTCACACTGGCAGTCTTTGAGAGTTCTTGCTACACCATCTACTCACCCACACTTGGTATGGTCAGTCTTTTTAATTTTGGACATTCTAGTAAGTATGCAGTTGTATTTCATGTGTGTGTGTGTGTATTTCATGTTTGGGTTGTGTGTGTGTGTGTGTGTTACTGGGGTTAGAACTCAGGGCTTTAAGGGCTCTACCACTTGAGCCACACCTCTAACCCCAATTTTTGTTTGTTTGTTTATTACTTTTTTGTGTTGAGTATTTTCCAGATAGAGTCTCCAGTACAGTTTGCCTGGGCTGGCTTTGAAACTTGATCCTCCTGATCTCTGTCTCCTGAGTAGCAAGGATCACAGGTGTAAGCCACAGGCACAAGCTTGTTAAGGGGAAGGGGATTTTGTTCTTTTTGTTTGTCTGTTTGGTTTGTGTGCTGGGGATTGAGTGAGGGCCTCAAGTGCCCTACACAGGTGCTTTAAAACTGAGCTACACTGCCAGTTCCATGTTCCTCTTCTTCAAAACTGTTTTGGACTTTGCATTTGGTCTTTGGAATTCTATTTTTTTTTTTTTTTACGGTACTGGGGTTTGAACTCAGGGCCTTCACTGTGAACCACTCCACCAACCCATTTTTTGTGAAGGGTTTTTTTGAGACAGGGTCTCATGAACTATTTGTCCGGGCTGGCTTTCGAACTGTGATCCTCCTGACCTCTGCCTTCAGAGTAGCCAGGACTACAAGTGTGAGTCACCAGCGCCCAACTCTGTTTTACTTTAGAAACAACTTGACTTTTTTTTTTTTTCTTTTTTTGGTGGGACTGCTGTTTGAACTCAGGGCTTCCTGCTTGCAAAGCAGGAAGAGATGGTAGTCTTGAGAACTATTTGCCCAGATGGCCTCAAACTCCCAAGTAGCTAGGATTACAGGCATGAGCCACCGGCGCCCACTCACTGAAACCTTTTGACTTGCAGCAATGCTTATTTTCTCACATGTATACAAAACCTTCAGACACAAATGCAAATGGGAAGACTGCCAACACCTGATTTCTGACCTCTATTTTTCTCATCCCAGTCATATACTTAGGTACATTTTGACCTCGTGGGGGAAAATTTCTAACATTTACAACTACTGATAACAGGAAGAAGAGGGGAAAAATTAACACTCCCCATCATAGTGAGTCTTCTCTCTTGAGACAGGGTTTTGCTATGTAGCTCAGGTTAGCTTCAAACTTGCAATCCTCCTGCCTCCGCTGCCCAAGTACTGAGATTACAGGTGTACACTGCCGTGCCTAGTCATAATCAGTTGTGTGTGGGTGTGGGGAGA